ATAGTTTTATTTTCACTCTTCCCTCCGAAACCAATTTGACTCTTCAAAAAACAACACCAGAATGAGTCACTTGAAATTATTTTTCAGGTGGGCTTCTAAAGACTGAGTTGCAATACGGCCCCTGCCCTGTGACAACATGCCAGGAAAACCCCAGGAACTCCCCAGGAACTGTGAGGGAATGAATGCAAAACTGGCTGAGCTGTTCAGTTTCTCACCTCCCCCAGAATGGGTTTGAACATGTTGACAGCAGGGTGGTATGAAGATGGTTTTGTCCCCTACAAACCTTTTGGATAAACAGGATTGTGCTCTACATCAGAAACCTCTCTCTGTAACTTCAGTCAATATTTTCTTGGCTTGCCACCCTTGACAGTCATAAAACAACTCTCTCTGGAATACGCCATTCAAATTAATCAGCTGTCAGCTATTCTTTTAAAACTAATAATAGAAGGTCTGCATGAGCCTGTGAAAGACTGAAACATGGGAATGTGAGTTGTGCAGCTGCAAATGTTTCTATACTGCTGCAGCTCTCAAATTGCTTTTTGCTCTTGAAGGCATGAAACAGCATTGTAGGGAACAGGAACAGGACTATCAAAATTGCCCAGCTGTCCTCAGCATGCCCTTAAATGTGGTAAATGCTTAGTGACGCCTTTTAAATTTCAAGGAAGCTTTAGAGAGAGGAGGGATGTTCTGGTTATAAACCATCAGGCTCAGCTGGCCCAGGAGCACAGATAACTTGATGGCTTGTATCCTTTGGATTCCAGCTGCACAGGGGATGCCAAACTATGCTCTTGCCATTGGCAGAAGTTGTAACCTCCAATTCATCTTCTTGTCATCAAACTGCAACAGGATGAGCAAAAAGGGTTCCAGGAGGAAGCACTGCCTCAGAGGATGGGATAACAGGATTCCTCTGAACAGCCCCTCGACTGCAGCAGTTTGGCTCCAAGTGGGCAGAGAAGATTAATGTTACATGAGGCTTGAACTCAGAATAAGAGCTGGCACTGGAGCAAAGCCAACTGTGCAACACTCCTGTAACTGCTATGAGGACTCTGTTGTCACATGAAATTGAGGAACAACTGGGAGGCTCTGTTCAAAAAGCACTCAGGTTGGAAGTATGTTTGCAAAGCCTGATGAAGGAACAAGAGCAGCACCTGCCTCTTCCAGGTCTGCATAAAGCTAGTACCACCTGGGGACGTTGCCTCTACCAGAAGTGGGTCCATTTTCAGCCTGAAAAAATACTTTCAAAAGCCTCTCAGGCTTTTAAGAGAAAGAAGCAGTCTAAATCCCAGAGCGGAAGCCTTAATTATAATGGATTTGTGTGAAAATTGCCAGATCTTGCCCTGCTCTGTGATCAGGGCTGTGCCAAGAATCTGCTTTGTGTCATACTAGCAACTGTGTTAAGTTCAGCAAAGTAACTGGGTCAAAGATGCACAGCCAGAAGAGAGATCACTGATTAGCACTAATGAGAGCCTTCACTGTAGAGCAGAATGACAGTGCCATCATGTTGAGGGTCTTGCTGTAATTAAAGGTAGCCATACCCATATCCAGTGTGAGCCGCACAAAACAGATTTTTTTGTGTGTCATATTTTACACCTTGGGAAGTCACTCATGACCAGAAAAGAGGACATGAGAGGAAACAACTGAGAACTCACTGTTCATACTGCTGGAATTGAAATTAACTTATAGAAAATCAAGAAAGATTTGAGCATCCTCATGAGCAGCCCTACCAAACATGCAGCACTGTTGTTTTCAATCCGGTTTTCAATCCTATTTTCAATGCAATTATTCTACCCATAATGGACATAAGTTTACAGATGAAGAGCACTCATCTTGTGTTCAAGAATTTAAAGGTACATCTGCCCACAACACCAGGTGCTCTGAAGATCAACCTTCAACAGAAACAAGAGAACCAAAGAAAACTACAGGGTTTTTCCAATGTCTCACAGACTTTCCCTAAGAAGAAAAAAAAAATCTGTATAATGTTAAAATAGAATCTGTAGTAATCTAGAGAAAGGAATAAGAGCAGAAACTAGTATTTAATGGTACAAAGTCAGTCCTAGGCTTCTAGGTAGCCTCAGCTCATTTGCAAAACAGTGTATTTCTAAGTAATAAAGACAAATATGTCAGGATAGCAGTTAACCTGGAATTGACTTCAATAGACAACATCAACATCTGCTGTCAGCCTATGGATAGAGGGTGTACAAGGAGTTACATAGGACGGGATCTATGCAAGATGAAACAAGCAATTAAAACACTATACCTCAGAATATAAAAATTACTCAGCAGACAGTCAAGAACAGAGAACAAAAAATATTTCTACAGTGTCCCTTCACTTTCCTTTAAGTACAATGAGACAGAAAGCAATTAATCCCACCAAAGAACCTCACCAATTTCTCTGCAAAACTCAGAGCCACTGATTATTCACAGATTGAATATGGACATTCAGCTACTGACAGAAACATGGTGGACATCTGGGACCAGTGAGGATATTTATATCAGGATGACACAAAACTGTCTTTGAAATACAGAAATGAATGCACTTATAAAGTGACAACTACAAAAATGTAAATGCTGAGCTAAGGACCTTTCCAGAGGTGCTGTGTTGAACACAGAGCTGTTACACCTGCACAGACTCCTGCAAGAACTCCACCTGCCTTACCAGCTATACCTGCAGCCTTCCTGAACTGCCCACTCCCTCAACAGATGAAAAAACAATGGGTCAATCTTGTTACAATTGTAGTTACAAATATATTATAATTTCTATTATTATTATTATTTCCTACTTGTAAGGTATACATAGCATAATGTATGAAAACTTAATTTGAAACCATTCAGAATGCTAGAACATATGGAAATTATCTTAAAGGACCAAGGGAATGATGCCTTGTATCACTTTTCAAAGTAACTTGCAAATGCTACAGCACAGACTATTAAGGGAAATGCCACTCAGCCAGAAACACTGGGAGAGAATTCACCAGGCTTCCTGCTGCATCACAGCAAACAGGAACACACCAAAAACCCACTGCTGCCTTTGGAGTACCCAGTTTGCAACACCTTGCAGAGATCTCTCAGCATTCCCAAGCTGATTATCAGTAAAATGTAAGCACTTAAAAGCAGTGATTGCAACATTGAAAATCATTAGATTTGTCTGTTTTAGGAATTTCAGGGACTAATAGCATTTTTCCCTCAAATGGACCTTAAAACTGGGAAATGATCACAGTGTTCCTTCTTAAGGAGGGAGTTGGTTCAAATTAGCACATCAGCTCCACAGATACTTCATTTTTAGTAAAAAACAGAGCAAGGATTCTTATTAAATTGGTCCTAACCATCAAAGAGATGAAAAAAAAGTTGTTTTCAAACCAGTCTAATGATATTTGCTAACAGTAGTATTTATTTATGGAATGGAGCTGGTAGGCAAGAGGTGTAGACACAAAGTTAGGCAGTGCTGGAGAGCCCTCAGTTTGCAGATGACAGCTGTCAGTTCTGCTCCAGCACAGCCTGCTGCTCCTGCATGAGCGCTCTAGGGTAGGTCACCGCTATGACAGCGCTTTTTCCCTAAAGTCTTCCTGGAACTCCCCTCTGAAGCACAGCCCTTTAATCGAGAAACAATCTGCACACACACAGGCTCGTACACAACAGCCATGTGTGAGGAGGGGAGGTGGGATGGAAGGATCTGATTTCCATTCTTTCCCCTCTAGGAAGGTTTGAGGAGAAAGTGGAGATCAGCAGCAGCACCATTATCTCCAGCATGTGTTATTAGCAGCCACGCAGAAGCCAGTCAGCAGCGTCTGGCATTGTTTGGAGCAACACAAAAGACCTTCTGTTTGGAAAGTTCAAGAAAGAAAAGGCAGAGCCTGTGGCCTGGTCCTGCAGTCAAAAGACTGACACAGACGCTGAGAAGTTCTCAGGCAGAGGCTGATCCCAAGCCCTTTGAAGGTGAAGGGAAAACTCCCATGGACTCCAGCAAGCTTTGGATCATGCCTGAAACACGCTGAAGGGAACAAAGCAGCATAAAAGTAGAAATGAGCATCTCCAAAGAGGAATTTAAACAGCGCAATGGTGACCTAATATATTCATCATGGTTGCTGATACCACGTGGTTTTGTGATGTTTGGCAAAGTAGGATTATATTAAATTTTTAAGTCTTTTCATTAGGATACAGCAGTTGTACACTCATTAGGTATTTTTCAGTTTAAAATACTATGCATCATGCCCCAGCATTGAGTGTTTTATACGGCATTTTGCAGAAGGAAAGCTGGGAAGGAAAGTCCCTTCCAAATTGCTGAAATTATGAGTTTTCTGCTTTCTTTCCTCACTGCCTTCTCCCAAAAAGGCTGGTCTACAGCTATAAAATACACAGTCTAGGACTGAAAACCTTATTAAGGACAATGTGCTGGCATCATCTATTCATGGGCAGCCGCTTGAGAAAGAGCCCAACCCAGAAGAAACTCTATAGCAACACATTCTCCAAACAATTACTAAAGGATCCCAAGTGCAGGGAGGCTCCAAATCCTCTGTTTAATTATAGTTTAATTAATTTTCTCATTAAAGATGAATATAGGAGCATTCAAGATGAAAGAAAAGTCTTCAGATTTCTGTAACATTTCCATAATAATTTTCTTGCATATAGGAGTAATCATTTCAGTGGGTTTAAGCTTTGGTGCTGTCTGGGTCCTAAATGATATTTTCTGGGAGTTAATTTGTTACAAACTTTTTTTTTTAAAACACTTCTTGTAGCCTTTGCACAAGATTCAACAAAGAGCCAAAGTAACTCCCTTCCCCCCTCCCACCCCAAAAACAAAAAATGCAGGATGTTTCCTCTTTTCCTGGCTAATAGAATCCAACTGTTGCATGACATCATTCCCCAGAGTTAGGGAATCCAAGATCACTCCGGCACTCTCGGCTGGGAGTAAACACCACCACCAATAATAAAAAAAAAAAATTTAAAAAGTCATCAAACTTTACAATGGGAGGACATAACATTAAAAAGGCAATTTTTGTTACCTGAAATTTGGAGCATTTCCCTTGCCACTCCATTCTCAGATTTGTATTTCCCAGACAAAACTCTGTGTTATTATCTGAGGCAATCAGAAAACCAGTCGTTTAGTGTCTAATACCTGCTGTGCTTCCCATAACTCCTTCATATGACCTCTCGCAGCACTGATTCCAGCTAAAATGATTGCAGAGAACACAGACTGGCCAGGCCAGTTGTCATGGAGATCTCTCTCCCCCCACCCCCCCTTTTCATAAGCGCGCGCGCACACACACACACAGATTTAAACAATTCTGGGAGGCATCCACAAAACAGCATGCCTTTTCATCAGCTAAGTTTTGAAACATTCCACCCCTCCTCCAGCCCCTCCCCAGAGTCAGCCCAGGAAGCTGAGATTTGGGCAGGAATTGATTGTGGAAATGAGAGATATTGTCTTCTGAAAAACAGAAAACAACCACAAAACTTGCTGCTTTTTTTTTTTTTTTCCAGAAGTGAAAAAAGAGATGTTTGCTCACCAAAGCTTTGAACTAAAAGTAAATCTATCTCATTCAGACCTGCAGGCTATTTGTCTTTGCCTGCCTGGGTATGAATTTGATATGTGAAAGCACTAAAGCTTTGTTGAAATACAATCATGCAGATTACAAGAAATGCTGCTGGCATGGCCTGACTGCTTACCTTGCTGTTCTTCCAGTACCAAGCCAGTGACTTAATTAGCACAGGTATTCATAAGGTCATGCAGGATTTCCTGTATTCTTTCATGTTTCTGTAACTAAGAAGAAAATTGGGCAGGTCAGGAACATGCAGCTCAAACAAACAAACAGAAGAAAATCCCCCAGCTAAACAAGAACACAGAGATACATCTGGAAGTTTTCTCATACTGACTGTAAGCTTAAGTGTTGCTTACCCAAAACTTGTTATCTCCCAGTTAAAGGAGAAACCCATTTCACTGACATTTGCGAATACAAGAACTGATTAGTGTACCATATTCACTGGCACCATGGTTGCAAAACGAAACTTACTCCAAACATATATAAAGACCTACAACATTTTTTCCTTGACAAAAAGTATCCAAATTAATCCCCACCAACATAATATAGGAAAGTCTGGACGGATAAATCAAGAGAACAGAAAATACCTTATAAAAAAGAAAGAACATGTATTAAGAAAATTCAGTTCAAAAAATATTTGGAGACTCAGAGTAAGGGTACTGTGGCCAAAGTTTTTACACTTTGAGAAATTCCTTGGAGACCTACTCTTCAGAGGATTTAATCAGAGTCAGTCATTCAAAATTTTAAAACTTCTTTAAAGATACTGAAGTGATTTCATGAGTCTGTGTTCTGCAGTGAGCAGTATAAGCAGCAGTCCCTCTAGCGGGCAGAAAATTGCAAAGCTGCCTATGCCAAGCTAAATAGGAAATCAATTTCTTCTGTATCTATTAACCACTTCATTGTGCTGTTATAATGCTCCACCCCTGCATTTAAAACCCAATACTGGCATATGAAAACCTTTATATGTTATTTTGGGAGTTGAACACAAGAAAACGTACATGATATAATCAACATAATTAGGTTTCTACATGAGGAGATGGAAGAGTTCCAATATATTACTCTTCTGGTTGTGTGAGATAGCCAAGATGCTTCATGGGAACACCTGTCTCTCCATATAGCCATCCTGACATATAAACTACACCAGAGCATATTATACTGCCTCATATTATACTGCCTGTACTTCTCAAAACTCTGAATTTTGTGAGTGGCAGGGCTCCCAGCAGGTTGCACACCTCCCTCTATAACAAGAACATCACACAAAAGCATACACACACACACACACATATAATATATATATATATAAAATAAATTATATATATATAATATATATATAAAATATGTCTATACACATAGGCATATTTTACACTGTTACCAAAAACTGTGTGCAGACTACTCACAGGTAGATAAATAAAACAAAACACCTACTTAAGCTGTCAAGGATCCAGAAGATACTGAAATGACAACACATCAAATAGTTCCTAGATATGAAAATACCATATGCTAAGTTTGCAACTTCACACTAAGATACACTAAGAATGCACCAGTGATGCCCAGCCAGAGCCATGAGAGCCAAATATTAAGGAATTCTGACTTGTTTTTGTCCTGGAAAGTTCCTTTGGCGTATGACCAAGGTAAATTCATTGCATGCTGCAAGTGGGCGCAATTTCAGCAGTGTGACTGGGGAAAGAGGGGAACTGCTTACTCCTCACAGGAAAGTAACATTTTGCACAGCATCACTGCAGAGGGAGTGTTCAAAGACACTAAAGTAATAAAAAAAACACTCTAGGAATTGATCAATGGACAAGTGAAATGGCTAATCATGCTCAGGTCTTCTATAGACCCTACTACTGATAAAATGGTAGTGTGTACCATCTGCATCACATCCCACTCCAGCACTCGTGGCAAGGCTCTGTGGCACTTCATTCTGTGATCACATCTGCATATATGGCAAGGATCTGGGGGAGCAGGCAAGCTGGCATTCATAAATCACTGAAAATGCTGTGTGCATTATATATACTCTCTGTTACAGTTTAAAATTCCAAGCAAAGCAAGTGAAGTTGTTAAAACACATCAGGCATACACAAATGTGTAGGAACAAGGCACTGTAGTAAAACCATGACCCAAGCTTTGGCCTTGGGGAGGTGACTACCACAGAAGCCCTCAGACAAGCACATTTCTATTGTAAGCCCCATGAATACCATGAATACACCCAAAATTAGTTCCTTGCCAAAAGGTGACATATGTCACTCAGATTGATCCCAGTGAAACAAGAGCCATTCCCACATTTTACTCACTGGGATCACAGTACATCAATACCTCAGAGCACAATTTAGGCTCTGGACAGAGTCTGAAATCATAAACAGAGGACATGATGAACAGCTGATTTTGCATTAATTACAACGTCATGGCTACCCTGCCATCAAAAGGCATCAGGGTGTGTACCCTCACTCCCTGCAGGAGACAGACAACCCATTACTCACACACAGCTGATGTTTGGTTTCTTATTTCTGACACACTTCCCTTTCTGACTGGTTGAACACACTCCTTCCTACACTCCTGGCCCTGGGATGGAGCAGCCACGTGAGGTGCAGGAGCAGACACGAACTGGGCAGGTGAGTGCACAGCAGGAGCCCCCACCAGGCACACCTGGAGTCTCTGCCTGGAGACCAGCAAGGGAAACATGAGCTGCCCAGCCTGAGATCCTTTCCTGAATGCTTTCCAAGCAGCCATCAGCAGCAACAGGAGAGGAAACAAAAATCAGACTTGTTCCTCATGAAATGTTATCACTTTCAGTAGGTGAAAACACAATATCAGAGGTGAGTTCCAGACTAAACCAGACACAACAGCAGCACAAATCTCTGGTAGGTATAAATTCAAATTAATCACTGCTACAACTTCAGTAACATTTTCCTTTGCATTTTTTAGATAAAAAACACTCTTGCAATGTTACTTAGAATTTTTCCTCTCCTCAAATAACTTTGTGCCCTTCACAAGGGCTTTTGCCCCTTTTTCATTGAAGATGGCCATCTTATTGCTCTTCCTCTACACATTTACTGACTATCTTTCCAGTGACCTCAACAAATATGTATTTATTTGAAATTCCATAATTTAAGACTCAACAACAAAAAGTGAAACTTAATAATTCTGTCCCAGTATGTTTTTAAGCCAATACTGCTGCAAGTGCCTGCAGCTCCTGCTGACCTCACTGGGAGAGGCAGGGAGCTTGGGAGCAGCACTTCCTCATCACCAGGCAGTGACTTGCAGAGGTATGGAAATAAGGGGAAAAGCCCGAGCCAGCTCTTAATGTAAAGCACACATGCACTACAAAAACTGTGTTCTTTGCTCCTTTTATAGAGAGACAGCACTCAATACTTTTGCATGGGGAATTCTGTGGGCTACCAGGTGGGGCAAAGTGATGACAGGCAGGGCAGCAGGCACCACACACCCTGAAGCAGTCTCATAGCACTACTGGGTTCTTTAAATTAACAGTGCACAGCACTGGCCCTTACTGGTAACACTCCAACATGATGGTGTAAGAACACAACAACAAAGCAAGTGGCACAAGATAACACATTTGACCCCAAAGGTATTGTTATACTGAGGTGATTGAAACTTCCACTGCCTTCAGTGGCATGTTAACTTCAATTTTGCCCCACTGTGTGTTTTGCTAGGATTGTGGTATCCAAGTAGCACAAAAGAAGATTGTAGCCTTGTTAACAATGGCAAAAGAGTTGGTTCAACATAGGAGCTCCCCAGTTGCAAAGGGACTGCACAGGTGAAAGACTAAGATCAGTCAGCTACGGACTTGTTTTCTTCCCCCATTTCAGATCCATTACTCATAGTATATACACAACTCTCTTCTAACAGGAGAATTAAATTTCCATGACCTCCTCAATGTTCTAGCAAGGATCAAGTTTGCAGCACTGTACTGGTTTCACTAACCCAGAAAAAAAAAAAAAAATTGTGTGTGTATATCCCCAGTATTTATATAGTATGTATATAGGAAATGACTAATCATAGCTGTGCTCTCTTTGAGATGCTGCCAATCCCTTTATGGCCCTATATCCCATTTCAGTTTGATCTCATTCTGCAAATGAGCGTGCCATTCTTGCATCTGACCCTGACACTGCAACTGGGTGCAAGACAGCAATTTGAAAAAGTTTCTAATTCACTAAAACTAAGGGGAGATCTGTACCTGGGGGTCATGACAAGAAGCTGACATGCACTCAACTGCTGTGCAAACACTCATTCAAAAATAAAGTGGCTTAACTTTGTGGCTATTATTATTTTAGGCCCTGATTCAGCAAAGCACTTAAACATTGACTTCAAAAGAACTTAAAAATACACCAAATGCGGGCTACAATATTTTACCAAAGTGGTGGTTTAGTAATGTCATATATTTTAGAAAAGAGAAGTGGAAAGAGCTTTTATTTGGCAATTAAAGCTTTAAGACACTGTTTGGTCATACTGGGACACAACCCTCATGCTAAATCTACTAATGATGCTGAAAATTTGCTGAGCAATAAGCTGAATAATTCCTTAATAAAACAACTTTAAATGTGAACAGCATGGAATTAACTCATGCAAATGCCTGGTTTGAGAATTATCCATACCTATGGTCTGATTCATGACAGGAGACACATATTACAGCTCACCCTGCTAGAAAAGCAGTGCAAAGCCAAACAAGCCATACAAACTGGCTCTGGGCCCAGGCAGCCAATTCAGCCAGCCCTCAACATCCCAGTGCTGCAAACTGTGTCAGATGGCACCTGGCCAAGGCACAAGCCAAGCCAGAGGGATAACCAAAAGGTGGGAATCTCGTGTAAATAAGTCCTTCTGCTCCTTAACTCTCCAGAGCCTGCCCTGTCTGCAACCAATCTTCCTTCCAGTCAACACCCTTCCTCGCATGGCTCTGCTGCATCCCAGGCATGCCCAAAAGGGAGAGAGAGGAAGCTGTAGGTCCAAAAGTGATGGAGGGGGAGAAGCCCTTGAGGAGAGGTTATTTGTCCTGTCTGTATATCCCCAGCAAGGGTGGATTTATGCCCCAAGCAGAAGGGCAAATGAGACAAGCAGGTTTCCTCTGGGAACCATCCATATCAGGAGAGACGTCAATGAGTTTCTTGAAACTCCACAGGATTTCTGATTTGACCCTACATGAATGTGAGATTTCCATTTGTCTCACTTTACTACTGTTTCTCTCAAGTAGAAGTGAGAGGACAAG